TATTGGTCAAAAGTTAATATAAGAAAAGATGAAAGATAGTAATAATTAATGTAATAACTATGAGAATTCATAATATTATAACTAAAGAATGTAAAAGAGTGCGAATAACGTTTGCAATAATTAGTAATAACTAAGAGAATATATAATGTTATAACTAAAGAATTAACGTGCAATAGCCGAATTTCTAATAAATTTAATACTTACATAAATAAATATGACTTTTAATTAATGTTACTATTTTTTTTTATAGTTATTAGATTTTAATTTAGTGTAGGGAGTAAATGAAAATGTTTATTCCATATTACTGAATATAAAATTTATTTTGTAAATGATATTTAAATGATTCATATATATTCATATATTTTCACATTTGTTGTGAGTTTTTTTTTAAAAAAGAACTCAGGATAATTTAAAATAATATATTTTGAAGTTAGAAGATCTGGTTTACTTGATAATACATCGTGACATATATAATGCTTTTCTTCTTCTAAAATACTGAAATATTAAGAAATAGTAAATAAGTGAAACAAAAGGGCCATGTTTGGATAGTAATAACTATTTTGAAGCAAACTCCGTGACAATCTAATTCACATAAAGCATTGATAAATAAAGTAATTATTTTGTCTTGAGCATCAAAAAAACAAATCGTGACAATTCTCTAACTCTTATGAAGTTTAATAATTTTGGAAAAAGTTATTCAAAAACATATATCTACATCACAAGAAAAATTGTTAAGAAAAACAAATGAATTTAGACTACATCATGTTAACTTCATATATTAGAACATTACATACTAATGTATATATTAAACAAAAAAATAATTATTATATCATCAAAATTATTTTTCTCAAGTACTTGAGGTTATGAAATATACCATCTTAGGATAGAACGATTTACTTCATTAGAATAGTGGTACCTCATATCCCGCTAAATTTTGAACTCACTCAACAACAATAAATCACACGAAGTTTTTTTTTTAATGCAAGAAGAAGAAGAGTAGAAGATTTAAAAAAATGTGGTTGAAAAATGAGAGGAAGCCCCTCTATTTATAGTCAACAAAGGGTTATATGAATTACAAGTGTTTTTTGTGTCTTATATGAAAAATCACGACCTTTCGGAGAAGTCACAACCCTTTGAAAAAGTCACAAGTTATTGAAACAGTCACAACTCTTTGGAAAAGTCACAACTCATCGAAAAATCACAACCCTTTGAAAAAAGTCACAACTTATCGGAAAAGTCATAACTCATCAAAAAAGTCACAACCTAAGTTAGGGATATTATATATAGTAATTTAACATTCAAGTTAGGCGTTCATGCTTTTAAGGTTATATATATATATATATATATATATATATTATTATTTATTTATTTATTTATTTTTGCCAAACCCATCGGTCCCCCTAAAGTTGCACCAAGTTTCACTTAGACACCTCACCTGGACGATGTTTATTTTAGACACCTTATGTAGGGTCTCGCTGTGTCATTTTGACACTTTTTTGACAATAAGCAAAACCCTGAAAGAGAGTGTAATACACTCGTTGATGACGTGACAAACAACTAATTAAATGATTACATATGTAATTTTAAGTTAAAAATTATTTTAAAATATATTTAGTAAATAAAATAAAAATATTATTCTAAAAAAAATAATTTAACCCCCCCTCCCTCCCTGAAGGTAGTTGTCTTCTCTACAACTCCCAACAATTTTTATTTTTTTTATATCAAATTTTTAAATTGTTTCGGATTTTTTTCTCTTTCTTTTTAGTATTGTTTTGTGGGAAGGAAAGAAGGAGAGGAAGAAAGAAAGAGAGAATAAATGTGAAATATGAGTGTTGGTATCCATTTTTTCGGTAAAAAAGGTGGAGGGAGGTGATTGTAGATTTAGAAAAGTAATACAATGAAGAAGAAAAATGACTTGAAAATGGATTTGAATAAAAAATTCGACCTCCATTGAAGGAGTTTAAACTTCAAAAAATGATGAGAGGTGGTAGCCTGAAAAATGGAGATGAAGAAGAGAAAATAAAATAAAAAATAGCTAAATTGAGTCTTTCATGCTCTATTGTTGAGTTTATCACACTCACTTTGACATGTCAACAAAAAGTGACAAAATGACACAACGGGACCCTACATGAAGTGTCTAAAATGAACATCACCCAGTTGAGGTGTCTAAGTGAAACTTAGTGCCAACTTTAGGGGGCCATCGATGGGTTCGACTTTTTTTTTTGAAATACTGGATTTTAAAAAAAAAAATTCATGCGAAAAAAACACTACTGTATTAGTCAAAATATTTGTGGGAATAGTCATCGAACATTTTTCAGTGCGAAATTTTAAT